ACAGAGTTGCTACTACACGTGTTGAATTCAAGATCAGGTTTGTTTAGCAAACAAAAAACTGCACCTGTTCTGGGAGACTCTTCCCCACCCCCCCGCCAAAAAAAACCCACCCACAATGCACTTCTGCCATTCTTATATTATTGTTCTGCAATGCTCCAGCCTGTCTCTTTCAGGCCTAATCAAATTGTGCACCATTTAAGCCAATGGGACTTTTGCCATTTGACTTCATTGGGAATAAGAATAGGCCTTTAGATTGTTAGACCTTTGGGCCAGAAAGCCAGCTGTGTTTGATGCAGCTCTTCTACTGCCCAGCACCTTGTTGGTTTATGGTGCTATATAAACAATGAAAACAATATGAGAACAAGAGATTGCCCTGTTTGTTTGTTCTAATAAAACATTTACTTACTTAGTTTTTCAATGTTGGGCATGACCTTACTCCCTTTCTTCATGTATGATGCACGGAAGCCATCGACAGAGAAGATGATCAAAGGAGGGCGAACAAAACTGAAACAAAAGCTATGTTCACGTATCAAGAGTTGAAAGGAGTATTTCGAAAACTATTTCGTATGCTCATTCGGTTAGAGTAATGAGAGTTTAAAATACTACAACAGTTAGAAGTCTATAAATTTTAGAGTTAGTAGATCAGTATAATTTAGTAATATTTATATTTCAGTAACACCCAGAAGCCCGAAATCAGGCTCACGATCCTATTGTGCTGGTGCTATAAAGACCCATACAAAGACATGGTCCCTGTCCAGAAGAGCTTACAGTCTAAGAAGGTAAGTTATGTATAAAGGGTTGGATAAGAGGAATACAGTCAAATACATACATTTTTACACACACATAATTGCAATTAAAAAAAACCCCCCCACACACACACCCCACAAGCACAAATCTTTTCTGTTTTTGTAAAGAGCAAGGGTCACAGGACGTTTAATGTCCACATACAGCATGAGAGAGACCAGCTGCTCTAACACAGTAAAGAAGAGGAGTACTCATTTTGTTATTCTTTCCTAGAACAAAGAGCCACATTGCTCCCCTTGAGATGCAAACACAGCCAGGATGTATAAGTATCCCAAAGCTCATGCAGAGGCCGGGAGAGCAACTTCTTCAAACGTGGGTGCCCAATATTAGGTATCCTCAGTGAACTCATTCTTAGGTACCTAAAGTCTTAAGCTCCCACTTAAATAAATAGGAGCTGTGGATGCCCGGTATGTCGGTGAAAGAGTCCCCTTATTTAGGTATCTACATCTAAATTTAAACCTTGATTCAGCAAGTTACCTAAGCACATGATTAATTTTAAACATGTGAAAAGTCCAGGGGTGCCAGAACAGGGATCCATGGTCCCTTTCACTTTTTACTGGCCAGAAGGAAGAGCGACAGAAGGAGAGGGTAGGGCCTCAGGGAGAAGGTGCAGCATGGGGGCAGGGCCACAGTTCGGGCACAGGTGGCCCCCACACTTTTAGGGACTTTCTGCTGTGCCTGAAACAGTCCCATTGGGCTCAATGAGACTACACAAATGCTTAAAGCTATTCACATGCTTAAATATCTTGCTGAATCATGGTCTAAATCAGTTAAGTTTCAGAATCTAATCATAAGCGTGGGAACTACGGGTGCAGGGGGTGCTGCAGGTTTTACGCAGGGCCCCATGCCCGGGGTCTGCCGGCCCCTTGGCCCCTCTTCAAATCCCCCCTCCCGGAACCACGGCCCTGCTCCTGGCCCCAGCTCGGGGTGGGGGGGTGGGAAGGAGGTAAAAAGTTTGGGGACACCAGCTTTACAGTTTCGCTGGCTTTCAGCACCCCCACTGTAAAAAAAAAAAAAAAAAAAAAAAGAAGTGTTCCAGCACCACTGAATCTTATTTGTTTTTAAATACTGTATAAGACAGGTACCTTTGGATGTAATGTTTAAAGAAAATTGGCCTGAAGGGTGCTCGCATCAGGTCTGATCCAATGCTTATTGAAGTCAAAGGAAAGACTTCCACTAAATTAATTGGGTATTGGTTCAGGTGCATGCATAAGTGAAGTGAAGTAGGCAAGTTTATCAACTTATAGCCAGTGGCTACGATTTAGTCAGCTCTTTTAACAAATGTCTTCCCCACAACTTCAAAATAAAATAAACTTACCCAGCTGGGCATTCAGGAGTTTTTATCTCTTCACAGTCATCATCCACCCAGTGAGTTTCTCCTACATGGAAAGGAATGTCACTTTTTAGAACAATTGTCAATACAGTTACCAATTGTACCAGACTACCAAAAAACCACCCACACGCCACACAACAGGTCATACTGTCATATTTTGTGAGCAACGTGTTTTTATACCCATTGCTCTCCTAGGCAGCAGTATGAATGTGCTGATTACATGCCAATGTTCAATAAGAACATCTGAAGTACAAAATTAGCACCTGTTTAAAGCATGACTTAAAATCTGAGTAAAGGGATTTCCTCTTGATCCTATGTGCAAGTTTTCACATGGTTTGAACATTTGAAAGTTATAGAGCACAAAAGCAGCATTATACTTTCATACTGGTTGCTAACAAATTGTTAGTTTCATAGCCTCGCTGGAACTGATCCCCTTTTGGGCACTGCGTGACCACAGTATTAGGTTGCGTAGTCAATTATTTTCCACTACATTTTTTGCTACTGTTTCCACTGCACGCTCATTGAGACCTGGGACACACTTTGTACTGTCACAGGACAGAAGAAAGTCAGATCATCAGACACTGCTACTTGCTTTATGACATTGGTGTTATTAAAAGGAATAGTACTTCCTCAATTTAAAAAAAAAAAAAAAAAAGCAGATGCATAGAATACAATTTTGAACAGCAGCAATCCCAATTGGCCCTGATAAGGGAGAGCAAGAGAGACAGAGGAAATCAAGAAGAAGGAGATCTTGGCATAGGCAAGAGATGTGAAGTATTTGTTTGAGTGGAACAAGAATTAGAGTGTCACATTTAATATTAAAAGAAAAGTAAATTTGTAACCAATAATATGGAGATGCTGTTCTTATGGAAAGGTCACTCCTGTAATGGTGCCATGGTCACAGAGATCTTTTGTTATTGGCTGGCTAAATGAGGACTATGTTCTATGTACATTAAAACAAGGGATGGCTTTAACTACTTGTTCTGTCCTATCTTTCTAAGGAAAGGCACCTCAAAAGGCAGGAACTGGGAACTACAACTAGCATTTAACCACAATTAATCTGCCAGGGTTTCTTCAGAGTTGGGAAGAATGCAATCTGCTAAAACTTGCTGGAGGAGGCATATTTAGTTTTCCTTCCCCACTGCAGAACTGGAGATGAGGAAGTAGTCTCTGCACTCAGTTATGCTGGTGTGTATCTGGACTATCCTCCTCACCTCAACAGAAAATGAAATGTGTATGGTGTGGGGGAGTGGCAGGATGGAGGCGCTTTCACAAAAAAAATACTTGGCATTACCCACAGGCCTGGCCTCTATCAGTTCAGGATAGATAAAAATGATAGAAATATGTACCTTTGCATACAGCTTGATAATTAGTACAACAGTCTCCTCTGGTCAAGCAGTCTTCAGAACAATGACAGGCATTCTCTTCATTCCTTGCCTCTCCACAGCGATCTTTGGTACATTCCCAGCCTCGAGCTAAAATATTCACACGGTAAGTGAAAACATTCAAGATGATATTTTTTAAAAGGGTCCATAGCACTCAGTTGAACATCCCAGTGAAGTTAGCCCAATCATTACAGTCGGCTTTGGAAGTTTGCGATCTGCACAGTGTTTGAAATCGATAGGTTGACTATAAACAAAAGAAGATGTGAGCCACAGACGGGTGTGAAGTTTTGAGTGCTTCCCCATTCACAAGCAGGGAGTTTTCTTGCTCTCTGATCCGGTCATTTAAGCCACTTTCCAAACTTAACACCAGCAAAAGCATCGCTAAAATATTGTTAAGGAACTTCTCTCCCCTTCCCCACTAACCCCCGAATGAAGGATATGGTGAGGGATCTGAAGCATAAGTGATGAATATTAGCACGTCTCACATACACCACCACCACCACCCCCCCCCACACACACCCCACTAGTAGCTTTAGGAATCCACTATATTCAATGACCATTATGTAGATGGAGGGATGTAAAAGGGAGCAACATGGCATGCAATTGGGGCTTTTATTCATGCCAAGCTCCTCAACACAGGAGATACGAAGATGGAAGGAGCCCCTTTATCAAAGCTTATTGGGTGAGAGTCTGTGCTGCACCCCAAAAAGGCACAGCACAAAACCTGCTGCCCTGGACAAGGTGGCTTATAAGCGACCTTTGCACCCTTCCAATCCTGGGGAGGCCATCCACATAATTAACAGTCCTGAAGCCCTGTCCAAGTTGAGTAGCACAGGCACCAACTCGGTGGGTGCTCCGGGGCTGGAGCACCCATGGGGACAAAATGGGGGGTGCCAAGCACCCACCAGCAACCCCTCTATTAGCTCCCCCCATCCCACCCCAGCACCTGCTGCCTACTGGCAGGCCCCGCGGATCAGCACTTCCCCCTCGCTCCCCATGCCTCTCGCCCACCACGAACAGCCCAAGGCCAACACCCAGTTCCTGGCCCCCAGAGCTATGCTCAATTTTCCAGACCATATCAACTCACTCTTTCCTGGATACCAAGCAGGTGAAGTTATACGATGACCTATGGAAGTCTGGGTAGGTCAGAATGTTCAGACCTGGCTCAGAGCTGTATGGAAGCATCATTTTCATATAAATGAAATAAACTGGGTGGGGGGGAGGGCGGGGCAATAATTTGTGCTGAAAATTGGGGATATTCCTGATTCCATTTGAAACACTAGTCATCTCTTTTGGCTGCTCAGATAAATGTGATTCTTCACCAAAGTAACAAGAAGGATTTCAAAGGCAGGAAGACTAGGCACCTATGTCAACCTAATCTCTGTACCAATCCAGCTACATGTTTTTTGGTACAGTGAATAACTGAAATACACACATAATATTTTAGGAAACAAAACAGTAGCTTTATGCTCTGCCATGAGGAAGTGTAATTTCCAAAAGGTGTTAGTAGAGAGACAGCCTCTCTAAAAATGTCCACACCATGTATCAAGCTAACAATAACCACCAATTAATAGTGCTATGTTTTCTACCCCCTAGTGTCCAATTAAATGTACCTGAAAGGTTCCATCAGTGGACTGTGTGTGCCCTGACATCTGGAAATAGGTGTCTGAAGTAATAGCAACCAGCACACTCCTTCACCTGCAATTCACTCCCTGGAGAGGACCTGCACAACATCTATGCAGCAGTTAAGCCCTAACAGCATCAGTGGGATTTAACCAGCGCATTAACCTGTGTGGACTCCTCTGCACAGGCATGAAACCCACAGTATGAGAATGAACATTAATTCCATAAGTACTCACCATTATTTGGGAGAAAGACAACATCTCACAGTTAACACAGTTACTTCCTGTTCTAACTAGAGGAGAAAATTTTAGTATCTCCGTGTGCGTAACTGTTCGTGTTTTTACGTGGGGCACTGCAGTAATACGATTTACTTTTTAGGTGGGATCTAATGTAAATAAAGGTGCAGGATGCTTCCTGGAAACCAAGGCAGAGGCAAAGAAAACCCAGTAACTGGGGAAGATACAAGGACCAGTATGCAAATTAAAGTAAGCAAGCAAGGACCACGCATTGAGAAAGGCTGAATGTGTTCGAAGACGGGATGAGTAAGGCATGCCCTGACAGTTGTCATTAGTCCATAGCCAGCTATAAGCAGGGTGTATAGATACAGGGGAGTACAGCTCTCATACCTGTCTTTAAACATAGTTCATCAAAGTCGAAGCAGCAACTGTTGTAGCTCTTGCACAGGTTGTCACAACGGCAGCCCGGGGGCTCAGCCTCTTGAAGCTCAAAGCATCTGCTTTTGCAGGACCCAGAAGTACTGATCCAGGGGGAATCAGACAGGACTGCGTGGAATAAGAAACAGGGCAACATTTGTCAGGCCATCAATGGCTGGTGAGTGATTGCTCAAACTAGTGCGACTCTGAGTAATGAAACTTCAGCTGCCTTGTTACAGCAGAGGGAGGTGAAGGGAAAGGAAAAGGAGAAGCACCTTGGGTGTTGACAGAAGCAAAAGTCTAATTAACTCAAAAAAAAAAAAAAAAAAGGTTCTTCTGGGGGGGGCGGTAGAAAGGGTAAGCAGCATGATAATGTCCTGCAAAGAACGGCACCTGGCTTTAAGTCCATAATAATCAAGCAATCATTAGCAGAAATAAAGCTTCAGAGGCCCAGTTATGGGAGCTTCAAATACTTCCCAAAAACAGGCCTTTGCAGTTAAAAACTGCATGACATTTTCATGCTCAACTGGGCAGTTAGCATGGAAAGGAACCGCAATTAGTCTACATGACAGTCAGCAGGATTCTGTTTACTGTACTATAAGGTGCCACATCAACACCGCAGTGAAAGGAAACTGTATGATACTCAACAAATTGAGTTAGTGGCCAATAAAGTGAGGAAATGCTTTTTTGGTGGGCTTCTGTAGAGCATTAAACTATAAAAACAAAACTTTCAGCAATAACACTGATTCAGAAACTGTAGACCATTCATAAAGCAAGAAACTGAGTCCATTAATAAAGCAAGCATTAGACAGCAATGATTCATTGGGGGTAAGGGATCCCGAAGTGGGACAAAAGCTATACTCTCCTGGCTAGGAGTACCCCCTATGACACCAAAATATATTATGGGGAGGCTGTTTGTGACTCCATGGTTAAGGATGCTTTATGACATGGGCTAAAAATAGAGCATATATTCAAGTTTTTCTTCCTAAGTAGGTGTTTTGAGTATGAAGTTTCACAGTACCTTTTGATTTCTTTTATTGAATTTTTAAATAGGAAGTATTTGAAACCAGTTAGGGGACGAAGTTTGTCAGCAGCAGTCAGACTATTTCTTGTTGAAATATCTACATAAAATTAGTAGGGCATAAATCTTAAGTAGATCCGATTTAACAGGTACTTTTGGAAAATATTGTGGATTACGGGCCATTTTCTGCTGCTGTTCTACATAGCTGAAAGTTTATCCGTCAGCAGAATGCGGGGAGAATAATCTTCCCCAAACAAAATCATCATCCCAACACTTAGTTGTAGGAGCATACGGTAGGCATAGGTGCTGGAACTTAGCTGCTGTACCCCTAGCTTGAAGTGATTTCCATCAAAGTTTACAGTTTGGTTCAATGCATCTCAGCACCCCTCCCCCCAACACAAATTGTTCTAGTGCCCCTGAAGGTAGGAAGGCACTTTTATGGTTTCGAATGAGTCGCTTGGTAAAGGCAATGTAGGAAGACTGGAGAAGCTAGGGGACAGAGTTAAGGTTGTACGGCATGGTAGTGTAAGGTATGTGCACATATGTGGGGCAGAAAGTAACATTAGATGGCTTAATATTTTTCTTTGCTATTGTAGTTTTTCGGTCAAGTAGGTTGTGTGTGTGTGTGCGTGCGCAAGTAAGTAAAATACTCTATGTAAGAGCATGGGAGTATCCCTTCAGTTAGGAACTCCCTCAGCATTCCCTTGATGAAGCCATTTTAAAATTTTCAATATTTTGGCCATTTAAAATGCCATAGGGCTAAAACTTTGTATCTGTGCTGGCAACATGCATCCATGAGTTTTTCCTTCAGTTACTGAAATCAGTCCTCATGTTTGTTTCGGCAGTGGCCATAACCAAGCAAAATTCTATGCTTTACATTTGTTTCTTCTTCCCATAATCCCTAGTACAAAACCAGATGAATTCTGAAAGATGTAGTTTTACCAGGAGTTTACTAACAGAGGGACTAATTGCTTCTGGTGTCCGGAAAAATGAATGTTTTGAATCAGCCCTTATTTTTCAGCTTTAAACAACATGGGAGCTTCTGTATTGTGCCAATCAAAGCCACAAATGATATATTAAAGCCTATTACTCCACAATAGGCATTGATATGTAGAGCATATGTGATTCCCAGTTCATTCTGGTGTCCTTTTTAAATCATTTGTGCCCAATCTGCTGAAGTGCCAAGCACCAGCTTCTCTCACTGACGTCAGCAGAGGCTGTGGCTGCCCTGGGCTTATGAAAAACAATCAGATCCATCTGTTTTAAACCAGAGCATGTATGTCAGCTCAAGTTTCCTTCACAGACAGGACACTGGAACCGCTTTGAAGCTGTAAGAAGTTTTTTAAAAAGTGTCATTACTGCACTCATCCTTTATTCCAGTATGACAACTAGACTTTAGAAGGGACATCTACTTCCAAACTCAAATTTATGTCCACTCTGCACTGAATTGCCTCTCTCTCTCTCTCTCTCATATATATTAAAACACTCCAAATTTATGGGAGGACTTTTGAGGTTGCTGTAAAATTTAACACATGAAGATTCATTTCAATTAATATTAAGGGCCTAATTTTCTGAAACATCCAGCACTCATTTAGGTACTTGGCATGGACAGATTTTCAGAAATGGTCTGCTGCTACCAGTCCCATATTCTCAACACCAGCTGCTGAACACTTCTGAAAAGGAGTGCTGGACACTTTTAACGTCTCTTGCTTCCTTATCTTACATGTCGTATCTTTGTTTTTAAGACCCAAGACCCAGATATGGCAAGATTGAGTGTGAGAATCAAAGATGTTATTTCAGAATGCTCTGTAATATTACCATTGCCCTATTCATTTCAGTGGAATTAAGTTACTTTCAATGGGGTCTTTGCATAGTGGGGAGACTACTCCATAACGCTGTTGAAAACCACACGCCAATGTCTATTTACAAAGGAAAATTTGGTGAGTCTTACTGCATGTTATATAAGCAACTGTCTGTCAGCAGTGTTTGAAGTAGTAGCTCAATGACTTAGTTTCCATTATCTTCTAGGTAGGAAATCATTCAGCTATAGATCTTTTGCTATTTTTCCATGCATCTGACAAATATAGTATATGCCTTTACTACTCATGTGACAAACTGCAGATCATAACTTAACAGTAACTTGATACAACGTCTGAGTTAACACATTGGTTATACCCATGGGTTGAGTTACTGTAAGACACTTCACATCATATCACCAAGAGGACTCATTTTAACACCCGTAGCCACTGGATATCAAGACTGTTCAATGGTTTGCTTCAATTGACCTTGCTTTTGAGGCTGAACCACAAACTTGCAGGTCATACACCCAGCTGTGGCCAGGGTCCTGATGTGTGCAGAATTGTTTGAACAAGTATTGTCAGCTTTATAGGAGCTGCACTGCTGCTAACTAAGTAGCAGGTTTGAGTTGTCAGATGCTCCTGCATTGAATATGAAGTTATGAACTTTTCTGAAAATTCCTAGATTGGCAGGAGCTTCTAAGCCATCAAGTCTGGACCCTGCTGGAGAAAGAGAAGACTGTGGCTGCCTTTGAACTTCAGGAGTTTTCCCCCTTTAACACTAGAGCTGCTTATATCTTTTTTGGAACTTCAGTCTTTGCAAGTTAAGCTCAAACTATTGTTGTTCTTTAAGGAGAACTTTGGGTGAAGTGGTATACCACTGATTAAGGGAAGAAATCCTATGGAGGCATGTTGCCTTTTGTTCGTTATGTAAATGATTATAACACAGAGCCTGGAAATGCTATATCCACCTAGAAGAGTGCCATATCAAATTGGTTGGTTTCACTACATTGGATTATGTGGTCAAAAATGCAGTCTATTTGCAATAGACACACAGACTGCTTCCAGTAGGACTTCCATCCTATGGCAACTACTCAGGCATGTTTGCATTATCCTTAGTAGAGAAACTGCATGGTAAGAATTAGGCAATGGCTACATATACGTAGCAAGAAAAACAGTTATTTGAAGAGTTTTGGAGCAGCAGTGTCACTGCATATTATTTATACTATATTTTGCAAAGTGCCATTAAAATGGACAAGTTTTCAGTGCGAGACCATTTAAAGTGTATCATAATTGTTCTGGTATAAATACAATTCCATGATTAGTTGTATGCTTAAAAATACACAAGTGATTAGTATCCAGGCTCCCACATTCACAGATCTAGGAAACAGATTTTAGCTCCCATCCTGACAATAAGACCATCCTGTTGTGCTTAAGTAATATGGTTCAAGAGGATACTATACTAAGATTACACATTCTGAAGCTACTTAACAACAGGTCTAGAAGACCTATACTCTACCTAAACTTACGGTAATAGGTCAAGTTAAGAAATGGCAGAATCAGTTATTAATTTCCCCTGTTTTGGGGGATTTAGGTCCTTAGATGTTATTTTAATTCAGCTATTTGTTGTGTACAAATACTGACAGCTTATTGAATATTAAAAGGTTCAGTTTAACATCGTTTAGATGAATTCTTTAGCACTTACTACTACTTTGTCATTAGTATGTAATAGAGTTAAAGTCACGATAGTCTGGATTCATAAAGCAGTACTAGAATGACAAGGTTTGGAATTTGAAAGTGCTATAGTACACACCAGTTAAGACAAGACACCCCTCATGTATAACAATGAATGGTGAAAACATTTTTTTAATCTTAGTTTTTCCAACAGCTATGTCAATCCTATAAGATTATGATGCAGACATCAAGATACATGTAAATACATATGCCAAAACTCAGTGGAGTTGAACGAGAACCTGCAGTAATCTTTTAGCTTGGCATTTCATTGGACTGGGTTTCTAAGTAGACTATTTCCATATGCAGTTTCCATTACGATTAATGGGAGTCATATGTGATTAATAATTTCAAAGACATAAGTAGACTTCTTTGATCAGAGCATTTAAAATGTTACCAGTTAAAACAAGTTTACTCTTGTGCAGGGTAGTTTCCCATCATAGAGGGCAACTGAGCTCTTCCATTTATTACATTTGTACATAGATTCTATTATCTCAGATTTTACATCCTGTTTCCATTATAAATTAACTTTGATATATTGGAAGTAACTTGGTTGACATAAAAAACAAGAGGGGAAACCCTCACTTGCTGTCTCTTATTGCTATATTCCAGACAATTGGCTGTCCTTGTACTGATCAAACCAAAACAAGTGACAGTCTGTATGTGGAAACCATGAAACCCAGGTCTTACCATTACTGCTACAAACATATCAGGCATACTACCTTAATATCTGAGGAGAGACATGCTAAGAGGAAAGTAATAGGAGCCATTTATGTTTTTGCAGCAAATAGGAGGTGCTCTGCTTTACGCAGGAAAAAAATCCAGAAGCAACATCCTTTTTCATTACCTAAATGTCCTTACTAAGTCAGCCACACTGATAAATGTGTTGAGTAGACACCAATTCTGGGGAAGGTGAGGGGGAACCTAACAAACTCCTTACTGGGAACACAACTTACTCAAGTCACTGTGAACAAGCAATTTCTTTATGAAAGTTCTCATCCTATTGTTATAGTTGGGTATTGTAAATGAAACCCTTTCATTTCAGCTATATTAACCAAGTCAAAGTCAATTACCACATGCTTCCTTTTTCAGGCCAAAGGAAGGAATAGAGACATAAGTCAAGACTACTTCCCCGCCCTTTCAAAAAAAAAAAAAAAAAAAAAAGATTCCTTTTCCATTTTATACATTTTTCCACTTGGAGCATGCCTCAGGAGATAAAATCCTATGTTTCCCAACAAAATATAAACAACGGTCTCTGTTGTGGCATGTCCTTTCTCTTTTCCACCCAGAAGAGAAGGATGTGAAACTGAAGAAAAAAAATACATGACTGACAGCACATCGGCTTCATGCAGTTCCCAACATTAACACCTGCTGATCTCACCCCTTCCCTCCTCCAGTTAGTTGTCTGGAGTCTACTGTCCACAAATCAGCATGACTAGCAGATACAGAAATCTAAGAAGCTATTCTCAGTAACTCTAGACTTGAAATGACCCTGACCAAACAAGTACTGCACAAATTTCTTCTCTAGCTAGTTGCATGAAAATTGTGAACTTAGTAAATTAAAGGTTTCAGAGTAGCAGCCGTGTTAGTCTGTATCCGCAAAAAGAACAGGAGTACTTGTGGCACCTTAGAGACTAACAACTTTATTAGAGCATAAGCTTTCGTGGGCTACAACCCACTTCTTCGGATGCATATTAGTAAATTAAAGTAAATGTAACTTGATCAGGTAATTCCCAACTGAACCTATTCAGTAGGCTCAATGAACAAAAAGTCAGGCACAGTATACAACAATCAATTGCAATATCAGACTAAGTTAACTCAACTCTAAAATAAGCTTAATTCTCCATAGTCACATGCACACAGAGCAAAAGTTTAAGTAAACAGGTAACCTATAGGTGAGTCGCAAAGGTCAACAGACTCAGGCTTGTTAACATACCGGTACTCTTCACTATAACCCAGAACTAAAAGGAACAGAGTGGGAGTGGTTTCTAAGCATGGTATATAACATAAGGTTAGTGAGATGTACAGTTTGTCATTTACTGTACCTGAGATTGCACCCTCATCCCAGTCTTCAGATCTTCTGAATCGATTTGCTGTAAATCCTACACAGACGTTAACCCCAAAGGCAAAAGCAAATAAGGATATTACCTGCAAAAGTAAGAGAGCAAAATGATCAAACTAAGCAAAACAAGAATGCAAATTTAAGAGTGTTGTGATTGAAAAAAGGAGGGACCAGATATATTATTTGAGTTGCTAGTCATTCCAATTCCTATTACTGGAACAGTAAATGACAGTCACTATTTTAGAGTAATCAAAACCAGAAGGGGATTATGAATAAAACATCTGACTTAAAAGCTCAAATGTTTCTTTTTATAGGAAGTTTTTCAGGAGACACTGGTTAGTGCTCCTTTCTACACAAACATGTTCTTTTCCTTTCCTTCCCTACCTGATGTAACTGGAAACAGCTTTTCTTAGCCATACTAGAGAATTCTTGAAAAGCCTTCACAGTATGCTCTCTTTTTCTTTATATTGAGTGCAGTGCTGTTTGCTCCGTGAGTTCAGTCTATTAGCTACAACTAATCCCACCTGGTGAGGTTGACAGGCTCATTTGATTTGTCCAGGGGTGATTTCATCATGTTTCACTCACAAATCGCAGCTCTGAGTGCAAGAAGCTGCAGGCATCATCCTCTCTCCCCCCCTCCCCCACAAAATGCACACACACACTTTTATGTGGTTTCCTCTGCCCAGGCAGGGTTTTCTCATGTTGCTGTGGCCAATACCAGTTCATGCTCATTTTATTCTCCTCACAAAAGTAACACGGTTAAAAAAGAAACCAATGTGTTTTCATCTTGCTAGAACCGAAAAACCTCTTGGGCTAGGGAATGAAAATTTCTGTTGCCATCTTCAAACATGAGAAAACTTGCAAGCGAGGATTTCAGTGTAGTTAACTTTTAGAGAATAAAAAAAACCGCACACACAATAACTCCGCTGATTTTGTGAAAGAGCCGCAAGTTTTTTTTACTGGTTTGATAAACTCAGTCACTGGTCTCACACTTGGGAACTAAGTCTAAAGTTTCCAAATGGTTCTCATGGCAGAATCCCCAGCAGTGTAACGAATTCTGATAAGGTTACTTTTCCAGCATTGGGATCCCTTGCATTGCTACACAGAGTACTTATGTAACTGCTCGCAACTGCATACACGCATGTTGAAAACCCAACATATCTAAAAAAACGTGAAATTTCAGCCTCCCCCTTCCTTATTTGCCTTGTAAAAATATATACATCACAACATTCAGAGTTCAGCTGCTTTGATAAGCAGCTCTCTCTGCAGAGCAGACGATAACGGTGCATAGAATTATGGTTCACGCTGGTGGTTTAAATGTTATTTGCTAAGGCAAATTATTTACCAAGTTAGTTCACCACCTTTTTTATCTCCTGAAAGCGTCTTTTCACTAACAACTACACTTAAAGGGACAGAGTCAAAATTTGTCAATCTAACCCCGGACTTTCCTAGCTTCCTGGAGAGTCATCACATATTAGAGGGTTTGCCTGAAGGAGTCCAGTAAGACTTTTTTTAAATAAACCAGTTTAAACACATACCATAGCGCTTCCATTAGAAGTCGCGCTCAAGCAATAACCACTCTCGCTTCGTAGCCTCACCTTACTAGGCAGGGCTAAAACCCACCCTTGTTTACTAGCCACACCTTATCGCACAGCCCTTAACAGAAGCCGCCCTCGATTCTTTTTCATGCGGGTGTGAACAGAAAGTGGTCTCCTGGCGCAGCTGTATCTTCGCCACGCAAACCACAGGGGGCGTAATCACGGGGAGCAGAAGCCAAGGCGGCTTCTGTTCTCAATGAAATTATGCAGACGATTGAAAAAAAAGACACGCTCGATTTACTCCGCAGCCAGTGCTAAACAAACCGGAGCATGCGTGCTACGATAGGGCATCTTGCTTGCAATAGGGTCGCTGAGTAGATAGGCCAAGAGTTGAGCCCGTATTTTACCCTGCCCCAGTTTGGCTGGTTTGAAAATGACCTGGATGGTCGGATTACAGACTGCACTGCATGCTGAAGTCCACTTCTCCATCCAGGTTTGCGCGGATCCCTGCAGAGAGGTGCTGCTTGGCAACATTTTAACAAGGGGCTCCCACGACAAAGTTTGCCCGTAGCCTGCGATAAACCCTGTGTGCGCGAAAGTTGTGTCATGCGCCTGCACTCACACAGAGCAGGGGGGAAGGACTGAGGAACCGATTCATTTTTCTCCCTCCCCGCTGAAACAAAAAGGCTTTCTCATAACCGAACGGGGAGGCATCACCTCTTGGCAAAGCAACTTGTATGAAGCTGCGCTTCGGTAGAAATGTTTCTATTTTGTTCCTGAAAAGATATACGACGTGATTGATAGAACAAGACACGGTGTTCAGTTTGTGTAACTGGAAATGAGAGTGAGTGGGGGTAAAGACCCAGAAACTTGCAAGGTGTCCTTTAAAGAAACCACTCTACCATTTGATGCAATCTGTTGCAAATATGTGCTCTTTGGAGGTATTTTCTGAGCACCCGGGATAAAAGGCATCTCTGGCTGGTGTGATTTAGCAATTAACCGAGAGACAGCTAAATTGGGACTCTAGAAATCACGCCAATTTAGTAGCACTATTTTAACAGGGAGCTCTTAACCTAGGAGCATCTGAACACCCATAAATTATCTGTTGTATATTCCTTCATTTTCTTTGTTGATAGCGACACAAAGTTCCGGACATAGCTGCATAAACAACTGCAATAGCTGAAGCCAGTACTCATGTATGAGTGTTTACAGATTTTAAAGTTGCTAACTTGCTGCACTTAATTTCAGACTCTAAACCCATAACTGAAGGAAGAAAAACAGCTAGTCCTTTAATCTATTCACCACACAGCACACATTTTCTGAGGTGCTATCCTCATAGCCCTATAGAATTTAACATCTTTAGCTCCTGTTGCAGTTTGACCTTGACACAAATTTGACAAAGTGGACCATACAAAAACACTTGGCATTTCTAAACCCTGTTGTACAATGTCATCCATGAACATATTTTGCTGTGTAACAATAGCAATGTATCATAAGAATTATAAGAGAAAGCCGGAATCATCACAGAGCAAATTTGTAACAGACACTGCATGTCAAAATTAATGAAGTCCTTGGTCCAGTGGCCCGGACATGGGACTGGGATTCAGGATTCCTGAGTTCTATTACAATCTCTGCCACTGACTCACTGGGTAAGTCATTTACAATCGTATTTTCAGAACTAGTTCTGATTGTGAGTGCCCAAGTTGAGGCACCTTTGGCCTGATTTTCCAAGGTGCTGAACATCTGCTGAAGTTGTAGATGGCTCAGTACTTCTGAAAATCAGCTCCAATATGTCTGAAAACTGGAGGCCCAGAAAATGGAAGTATTAAAAATATCAGTGACCACATTTTTAAATATTGGATTTTTTTTGGGGGGGGGGGGAGGAGATTTGAAACTTTGTGTCTTATGGATAGATCCTGAACTGGTATAAATTGGCATAGCTCCACTGAAGTCAATGGAGCTGCACTGATTTACACTAGATGAAGATCTGGGCTTATGTTTCCTATTTTGTAATGTGGGTATAATGATATTTACTATCCTTCATCATGTCCTTTAAGATCTATGGGTGATAAGCACTGTATACTCCTGGGGGAATTGCAGAATTTTGCAGAAATTAATGTTGTGTGCACAGAATTTCCTTTCCCCCACAGAAATGGGCTGCAGTGCTTCTGGCCACCACTAGGGGCCTCTGGACTTGGCGGAGCCCAGCTCGCACCTAAAAGACACTGCCGGGGGAAAGAGGAGGGAGCTAGAGGGTTCCTGGCAGCTGCAGTTCCCAGCATGCCCTGAGGGAAGGAGATAGCAGTGCAGAGGAATCTCCATGCAAGCCTGGGACCAAGTATGAGGCTGTTTTTCCCTCTGGATCCCTAGGCTCTGTGGGAGGAGGGGGGCAGGTGTCTGGGCTGGGGGGGCCATGGCTGGGCTGTGGGTGGGATGGGGTGCAGGTATCTGGGCAAGGGGGGGGCCTGTGGCTGGACTCTGGAGGCAAAGGGGTGTGGGTATCTGAGCTGGGGGGACATGGCTGGGCTTGGGGGGGATGGGTTTGGGGTGTATTGGCTGGGGGGGCATTGTGGCTGGGCTCTAAAGGGGGAGGGGTTGTGGGTGTCTGGCCCCCCGGCTGGGCTCTGGCAGCGAGGGAACGGGGCAGAGAAACAGGAACTGGGTTGTCGTACGGTTTTCTTTAACTCTCTACTCCTGGGGGGAAATTTTGTGGTGTCTGTATTGTTGCTCATATACTTGCTGATAGATATTTTGAAATAAATTACCAAAATAATTGAAACTGGTGTGATTAGGTAGTGTTATTTTGACAAATAAAAGTTGCAGAATTTTAAAATACTGTGTGCAGAATTTTTAATATTTTGTCACAGAATTCCCCTAGGAGTAACTCTAAATGTGCTAATTTTATCATTTATTATACTTTTTCTGTGATATTTGCTATATATTTTCTAGTAGTTCTAAACTGATCACACATTCACACTGACAATCTGACAATCACTTTTTCTGTAATGAAGATTCTGCCTCAAAGCATCCTAGTAACACAGGAGGAATTCATTAACATGAACAAAACTACTAATCCTTATTTAAGCAGGGGTCTTCAGCAATTAATTGTCATTTTACTGGGAACAGAAGAATGACTCCACCAATCAAAAAATACACATTTTATTTTTTAAAGAAAGAAAAAAGGCATAAGTAATGTATGAATAAGTTATTGTGTATGACCAGCATTATCTAATGGAAAGAAAAATACAGTGCAGAGGTACAAAGAAAGTCTTACAATTAAAATGAAATACACTTTTAAATGAGTTGCATAAGAATCCACAGGAATTAATATTGCATTTATAAGCTACTCTTATTGTGTATTTGAGGTTGAAATATAAGGTCAGATGTAGCTGAATAAGCAAAAAGAAACATGCAGAAGATAAATTTCAAGAATTTAGGACACTTAAGCACGTGAGTAATTGAACTCATATGTCTAGTCCCATTGAGTTCTACTCATATGAGTACAGTTACTCACATGCTTCAGTGTTTGTGGGATTATGCCCTTAGCTTTTTCTGCTGTTTAACATACAGCCATGTTACTGCTTACTGTATTACTCCCAGACTGCAAAGCATTAAATTAGCCCTGTGACACTACACCTCATATTCTTCATAGTGATATTATTATGATATGATTATGGCATAATTATGATGCATTTTGTACAAGACAGGTCATGTAAGGTGTCATGGGAAAAGTTATGATTTGCTGAATATGATTATCCTATTTGTATGCATGTATCACTTTTGTATCTGAAGTTATGAATATTGACTATGTATCAGTATTTCACATATAGTCCAACCTGGGTGACACCCACTAGGCAAGACCCTTCCAGTCTAAATAGCTGGTTGTGAAGGGACCATTCAGGGTAATGGGCCATTAG